GAGGTTGGGGAAATGGTAATGCAGGCAGAGGTACAGTGCAGTCAGGTAGAGAAGTCACCTGTCATGATGACATGGCTTAATGTAATGCCTTTTCGGGCAAAAGCGAGGTGGAGGCGTCTGATGCAATGATCACATGTACTATTCTTGTGTGTGATTAGATGGATAATGTGTTATTTTATCCGGGTTCGACTTATTCTTATGTGTTTGTTCAGTTTGCCTTGGGATTTGATATGATTTGTGATATACTTGATGCCCCCATTCATGTTTCTACCCCAGTTTGAGAGTCTGTCATAGTCACCCATGTCTATCGTGCTTGTCTTATCTTGTTTATGGGTTTTCAGACTTGGGATGATTTGGTGATTTTGTATGTGATTGACTTTGATATAATCTTAGGCATGACTTGGTTGTCCCCGTATTATGTTGTGCTTAATTGTAACACTAAGTCTGTACAAGACTAAGCCAACTAAGATCATATCCTCCATTCAGGCTAGGAAACTAGTGGGGCAGGGTTGTTTGTCTTATTTGGCTCATATTTAGGATGTTCAGGTTGAGTCTATTCCTGTGGTGTCAGAATTTACAGAAGTGTTTCCTACAGATTTAGCTGGTATGCCTTCAGATAGATATATAGATTTCTGCATTGATTTGGAACCTGGTACCCGCCCCATTTCCATCTCTCCGTATCACATGGACTCGGTAGAATTGAGAGAGCTTAAGGCTCAAATCTAAGAACTTCGTGATAAAGGTTTTATCTGTACTACTGGTTCCCCGTGGGGTGCTCCTGTCTTGTTTGTTAAGAAAAAAGATGGTAGTATGAGGATGTGCATAGACTACCGACAATTGAATAGAGTCACCATTCAAAACAAGTACCCATTGCCTCGAATAGATGATCTTTTTGACCAGTTGCAAGGTACATCAATTTTCTCTAAGATTGATCTAAGGTCTGGTTACCATGAGTTAAAGATTAGTCCTGAAGATGTACCCAAGATGGCATTTAGAACCCGCTATGGGAACTATGAGTTTCTAGTTGTGTCATTCGGGTTGACAAATGCGCCTGTAGCTTTCATGAGTTTGATGAATGGTGTGTTCATACCATTCCTTGATTCGTTTGTGATAGTATTTATTTATGACATTTTGGTCTATTTGAAAAGTGAGGAAGTGCATGACGACCATATTCGTATTGCTCTGGATGTTCTTGGGAAAAAAGGTGTATGCGGAAAATTTTCTAAGTGTGAATTTTGGTTGACTTCGGTTGCCTTTTTGGGGCATGTAGTTTCAAGGGAAAGGGTAATGGTAGATACCCAAAAGATTGAAGCGGTTAAGAATTGGGTTCACCCTAGCTTTATGATTGAAGTTAGGAGTTTTGTGGGGCTCGCTATCTACTATCGTCGATTTGTGAAGAACATTGATTCTGTTGGCATGCATATGACGAAGTTAACCAAAAAAGAGGTGCCATTCAAATGGACCAAAAAATGTGATGAGAGCTTTCAAAAGCTCAAGACTCTTTTGACCACAACACCTATTCTAGCACTACTAGTGGAGGGTAAATTTTTTATTGTTTATTGTGATGCTTCCCGTTCGGGTTTGGGTGCTGTGTTAATGCAGGATGAGAATGTTATAGCTTATGCATCGCGACAGTTGAAGGTGCATGAAGGAATTACCCATCACATGATTTAGAGTTGGCAACAATGATGTTTGCTCTTAAGATCTGGCGGCATTACCTCTATAGTGTCAAGTGTGAGGTGTTTACTGATCATTGTAGTCTACAACATGTGTTCACTTAAAAGGATCTGAATTTTAGACCGCGAAGGTGGATGGAGTTACTCAAGGATTATGATGTGACCATCCAATATCATTCGGGTAAGGCTAATGTAGTGGCAGACGCACTAATCCGGAAGGCGGTGAGTATGGGTAGTCTAGCTTACTTGAGTGTGTCCAAGCGATTTTTGGCTAAGGAAATTCAAACCTTGGAATCTAAGTTCATGCAGTTGGGCATCTCAGAGAAAGGTGGTGGTTAGCTAGCATTGAGGTAAGAGCCACGTTCATTGAGGAGATCAAGGCCAAACAATTTGAGGAAGAGAATTTGAAGGAGCTTAGAAAGAAGACAGTGTCTGGTAAGGCACAAGATATGGTTCTTGATGCGGGGGGTGTGCTCAGTTTTAAAGGAAGGATTTGTGTCCCTCGAGTAGACTTGATAATTCAAAATTTGTTGATATAATCTCATGGTTAGCGGTATTCTATTCATTCGGGTGTGATCAAGATGTACTGTCATGACCCAAGCCTAGGGCCTAGACGTGACCGGCGAATGGGGAACCCGAAGGAACCCCAAACAAGCCTCATAGCGTATCATTACACATCCTTGGTCGCAGAAGCAATTAAAATGACCATAAGCGATAAGCATAATCAAGGGAGAAATCGGGACTAAGGGAGCAAGAGAAAAAAAAGGAATGATACATAAATACCATAGATGAGTCAAGCTCAAGCATAATACACAACTTGTCCAACACCACCTCTAAACATGGGTACTTAGCGGGGGCCAAGACAAACTACCGGGCTCACCCTCATAGTCAAAACATAACTAAAAAGGAAAAGTCTTACACATAGCAAAAGATCATAAGCAACGTCCCTGGAATGGAGGACTCACCAATAACCTCGATAGAAAATCGTATTAGCCACGCGGAGGAGGATGGTCAAGCGGTGCTCCGGTCCCTACATGGTGACATCATGTAGGCATAGAGTATGCATTAGTACGTTTGAATGTACTAAGTATATGCGATGCAATGCAATGCTACAATAGATGGACATCATAGGAAAAATGCATAATCATACCCGATAGATAGCATATTAATGAAATGATATGTATAATGATGCTTACATAAAAATCATATTTAGTGGGACATAGTACATGTGTGGCGAGTGACCATCAATATAGTATTTCCAAGGCCTACCACCCCCTTGGAGAGGCGAAAGAGGTACAAACCCCTCAATGTGGTTACCCGGGCCTACCACCCCCCGAGCTAGGGACCAAGGTACAAACCCCTCGATGTGGTTATACGGGCCTACTACCCCCCGTACTAGGCAACCAAGGTACCAACCCCTCGATACGGTTATACGGGCCTACTACCCCCCGTACTAGGCTTGGTCGACTCACAACACTATATAGAGAAAATCATATACATGTATCCCTTTCATCATCATTTCAATAATTATATAATCATCCGACTCATAGGATGTACATTGGACCTTCCATTTCCTAAGAATTCTATAAATGACATTTTATCAAACACATGGTGGGCTATTGTTCATGTAGATAAAATCATGTCTTTCAAGAGTACTAAATCCAACCAATTCCAAAATTCATATAAATCAGCCCATCAACAACATACATGTATATATATCAACCTTCATAATTTGATCATGGAAGCATAAAAACCATAAGCATCACATAATAATTCCATTTCATGATAATATGTAAAATAGACCATAATAGGGTGTGTAGTAGTAATTCCATACTTCAAGAGTTCATAAATAACCATAAGGGCCCATAAACTTGAAGTAGTAATAGAGGATAAATGGTTGGACTTGTGGAAAGGAATATTTCCACAATCAAACCCACATACCTCAACTTTGGAGAATCCTTGATGAAGATTGGAATGGAGAATTGAAGCTTGAGATTGAGTCTTGAATCCGGAATTAGAGCTTGAGATGTTTGAATTTGGTTGAAGATCTTGGTGGAATTTTGGAGAGGGCTTAGTGTTTTTGAGTGTTTTGAAGTTAGAAAAAATATGACTAAGTATGGGACATTTATAAAAAATGTCCCCAACCCGCTAAAAAAAAAAGCTTACTGGAATTTGCAATTCTGCCGAGACAGATTTTACGAAAATGGTCATAACTCCCTCATCCTAACTCGGAATGAGGTGAAACCAAGTGCATTGGAAAGCTAAATCAAAGGGATTTAATTTAATAGGTGGTGGCCCTTCCAGTTCCTTTTGTGCTAAGAGATATGCCCATTTAAAGTTGACCCTCCAAATCGCATTTTTTGCGATTTTCAAATTTTGATACGGTTGCTCTAAAATTCGGGTTAGACCCATTTCCCACTCAATTTGACCCCCTGAATAAGAATATGAAGTCAAATTTCTGAAATCATGCACGGATTTTGAGATATATGGAAATTACAATTATAGGTGTTTCCGAAGCACATTTTCGGGCATTTTTGGGGTCGTTTCATGTACCGAGACTTGAAGCAACTATATTTGTGGTCGGGAATGAAGAAAGATATATCGGAGTTTGTGGCTAAGTGTCAAAATTGCCAACAAGTAAAATATAAGCATCAAAGGCTTGCAGGTTTTCTTCAGAGAATGCCAATTCCGAAATGGAAATGGGAAAGGATAGCTATAGATTTCGTAGTTGGTCTTTCCAAGACTTTAGGGAAGTTTGATTCTATCTGAGTAGTGGTGGACAGATTGACTAAGTCAGCCCATTTTATTCCAGTAAGAATAGACTATAATGCACAGCAATTGGCTAAGGTTTATGTGAAAGAGATAGTGAGGTTGCACGGGGTGCCCCTTTATATCATCTAAGACCGTGGTACGCAGTTCACATCCAAGTTTTGGAGGAAATTACATGATGAATTAGGCACACAACTCACTTTTAGTGCAGCTTTTCATCCGTAGATGGACGTGCAATCGGAGAAAACTATCCAAGTGTTAGAGGACATGTTGAGAGCGTGTGTGATTGACTTTGGAGGACATTGGGATAAGTTCCTACCTCTGTGTGAGTTCTCCTATAACAAAAGTTACCATTGCAGCATCGATATGGCGCCATTCGAGGCATTTTATGGGAGGGGAGGTAGATCACCCATAGGATGGTTTGAGACTAGAGACATGAAACCTTTGGGGGTTGAATTAGTAAAGGATGCTCAAGATAAACTGATGAGTATTCAAGCTAAACTTTTGGCTGCCCAGAGTAGACAGAAAAAGTATGCAGACAATAAGGTAAGAGACATGGCATTTCAGATTGGTGAGAATGTGCTTCTTAAGGTGTCACCCATAAAAGGGATGATGATATTCGGTAAGAAGGGTAAGCTTAGTCCTAGATACATTGGACCATTAGAAATTCTCGACTGTGTAGGACCAATAGCGTATACATTGGCTTTATCTCCTAACCTATCGAGAGCTCATCTGGTATTTCATGTGTCCATGTTGAAGAGATATCATGGTGACATGGACTACATTATAAAATGGGACTCAGTGTTGCTAGACAAAGACCTTCAGTGTCAGGAGGAACCAATTCAAATTTTTTATCATGATGTCCGGAAGTTGAGGACCAAAGTGATTAAGTCCGTGAAAGTTCAATAGAAGCATCATCCACTTGATGAAGATACTTGGGAAACTGAGAATGACATGCGAGACAAATATCTTAAGTTGTTCGTCAATTCATGTACTACTCTACCCTTACTTTAGCCCATTTTCCCTTGTCACTCGGGGATGTGTGATAGGTAAATTCGTATCTATTGTAATGACTTGTTCCCGCCGTTACAGAAAAGCCAACGGGGAAAATTTTTAGGCTGGAAAACTTTTTGGTAGTAACTTGAAATTTCCTAGCCAAGTCCAGATTTGGACGAAATCAAAGTCAGTGAGTTCTAGGAAGATCTGGTAGCAAATGAGTGATCTAATTATGAATTTTATTACAAGAGTGGATCTCTAAGACGTTAATGAATCCGTACGACTTTACAAAATCAAATTCGGGTGAGTAGAACTCCCGCAGCTGATCTTAGCATGAACGGGTAGTTTTTGAGTGTCATGGGATGAATGTGTATTGTGATATGGGGGTTTGAAACTCTTAAATCGACTCAGTTTTTCTGTGCAAGCCGCCAGGGCGGGATTATTCCCGCCAGGACGGGGCCACTGTGGCAGGATGGGGCTGCCATAGCGGGCCAGTCGCGAATTAAGTTAGAAATAAACCCCAAAAATGTCATTATTCTGCAAACTTCGTTCTTAAGAGTTAGGAGACAAACCAAGGCAGTTTCTTGACAATTTTTCACCATTCTTGAAGCTAAATGTATGGTTTTGCTCCTCGAATCCATTTTTCGATCCGTAGAATGTAAATTCATGTGTAACTATTGTTGGGGGAGAGTTTTGGAACCGTTTGGATGGTGGGAAAAGCCCTAGCTACATATTAGGATCATGGGTTTGGCCTAGGATTGATAGTGTTGATTGTAATCCGGGTACTTAGGCCTCGTTTATTGATTCTAGCATTATATTGATTGTTTGTAAACTAGAACAAGTAGAAAGAATCCGAAAAGGGAAGAATCCGAAAAGGGAAGAATCAAGTTTCTTAGGAGGGTTAAACTTTGTTCGAGGTAAGTGATGGTTGTGATTTCATGGTTGTGTGATGTATGTTAGTAATTACTTCATTATAATGCACCTATGTATGCAAATGTTGCACTATTGATCAGGCTAATCATAAATGAGTATGAATGAATGATTGTATGCCATGAATCAACACTTGATTGTATGATTATGAAAATGTACCTTGTGATTGTGGCATGTTGAATGGAACGGGTGTCACGTTTCGAAACACTAACTGGGATTGGATGTCACGTACTGACATACACATTGGAATTGGTGTCACGATCCGACAAACTAACTTGGAATGAGTGTCACGATCCGGCACACTAACAGTTTGGGTATGGGTTTCATGAGAGGACCATTGACTTGTCATATAGATTAATTATTGAGAATGTGAAATTGTTCATTGATCCTGAAATGATGAATGATATTGTATATGTTTGGTATATGCCTATTTTATTATGATGTGATTACTTGTATACGTTCCACTTATTGAAATAGCTATGTGATCCTACCAGTACATTGTGGTTGTATACTGATACTGCACTTGCTCTTTCTTTGTTGAGTATATGACATCTTCAGTTGGCTACTGACATACCCCGTTTAGAAGACCAGTGATCGATTCAAATTCAAAAGTGAGCCAGTTCTTCCAGGCTACCATGAGTTCTTCTTTTGCTCAGTCCATCTTATTCGGGCTTAGATTAGTACTTTAGATATTCACATGTTTAATTGGGTTGCACCCATTATCTTTAGACTTGTGGTTCCTTGTTAGAGTTTTGGTACATCGACTTTCAGGTTCTAGGGAATAATTTCCACAATGTTTTGTTAGTCGTTGTTAGAGTTTTGGAGTTTATGGGAACTCTATTTGATTTCTGCATTTAAACGTGCTTTCGTAACTTTTAATGCCTTAGTTTTTGGTTAAGTTGTTTAGTTTGGGTTGTAGTAATAGTTCTCCCACAGGAGGGTTAGTGTGGGTGCCAATCACGATGATCTGGGTCGTGATGAAATGAGAGCCCTTTTTTGGTAAAGAATAGTAATGCGGGAAAATTCTAGTTGGTATGGCAGAGATAATAAGAGTAACCCCGTTCCATACCCAGTGCAGTCGTTATTCGAGGACGAATGATCCTAAGGGGGAGATATTGTAACACCCATATTTTTTTGAATGAAGACTCGAATCATCCTTCGTGGTGAGTATGATTTTATCGAAGAATTTAAAATTTCTTAAGTATTAAGGTCAGGTCACTAGATATAACACCTTGAGTTTCAAAAAGAATTAAAAAAAATTCATTCAAGTCATTCCTAGGTTCATCTAAGTTTTGGGTCAACTTAAAATGACCATAACCTTCAGTACATGATGAGTTAGGTGGCCTAAGATATCAAATATAAGGTCTTTGAATCCTCTTTACAACGCCACTGAGTTTGCTACTTTTCGAGCTTGTATGAGGGAGATATGCCCGCTTGAAGTCGGGTTGTCAAGTTAAAGGGAAGCTAACCAAAAATATGAGGGGTATTTTGGTCTTTTCCTTACCCAAACAGATTTAAGCATTTTTAGTAAGGTTTTAGGAGTCTAAACTGATTAGAATTAGTTTCATTCATCACCAAAAGCATTTAGGGTTTTAGAGAGAAGATTCAAGAGTAGAAAAAGTTCAAAGTTTCAAGCATTAGTTCAAGAAATTCAAGATTTCGCCAAGAACCTAGTACTTTGAGGTATGTAAGCTTCCATAGTGTTGGGTTTGTTCACCCACACGCCAATCATGAGTTTCTTTTGCGAATCTATCCATAAATATTGAGAAATTTAATTTCTTGATGAGTTCTTGATAAGTGTTCTTGGAGTTTCCTTATCGATTAAGTTTTGATGTAAGATTCTACTTGGGTCAACTTCAAACGACCATATCTCTTAGAATATAAAGAGTTACGTGAGCCATAACCTATCAAATTAAAGGTATTTGAATCTACTTTCCAATGACACCAATTTCTCATCAATCAAATTTCTGAGTAAAACAGTATGAATATTTTAGTAACCTATACAGGGTTGTTATGAATTAGCCGATGGGAAAACATTAAAAAGAGTCATTTTTGTCTTTTTACCTCCAATAAAACGCTAAACAAATTTCTTGACTAATAGAAGGCTAAAAAAATAATAATCAGATTTATCATATTTTAATCCACCGTTCTCTTCTCTCTCAAATTCTAGGGCAAAACCCTTAGGAAAAATGAAAGTACAAGACTCCATTCAAAGATTCTTTCAATCTCTTTCAATATTCTCCAATCTTTTTTCAAGATTCTTCTTCAAGGTAACTTTTTCTCCAAGAATTCTATTCTTTTCAACTCAAATTCCTCCATAAAATTATAAATCACTAATAATCATAATTCTAGGCAATAGAGATTTCAAGAAACTAATTCAAGAACCTCAAGAGAGGTTTTCTTGATTATTTACCTTCAAGCTAGGGTTTCAAGGCTTCTAATCAAGTTCTTAAAAATTCTTCAAGATTATTCAAGAACCTTGTTCTTTTAGGTATGTAAGGCTATCATAGTGTTAGACTAGTTCGTCCTCATGCCCTACATCTACTTTCAGATCAGTAAGAGAGTAATCTAGGATACTTTCCCTAGATTTGAGTATTCTTGAGAAAAATTGATTTTGAGTTCTTGAGTTCATGTTTCTTTAATAAGTTCTATTCCTGATTATCTAATTGCTATATTGTTATTGATATCCCTTATATCATGAATCATAACTCTTGAATTCATAATTCATAATTCAAATTCAAGAAAGAGTTAAGAGTAGAGTTCAAGAAAGTCTTTGAGTTCAATTGTGAATCCTTTGAGACCAACTGTCGATTTGAGCTAAGTTTTGAGGAAGTAAGTATGAGTCGAGAAGTCTTGAGATGAGAGGTATCAATGAGTCCTTGAGTTGAGTAGTTCATGCCCATAATTTCGCATGAACCCTTCCAGTTGAATATTCTTCAGATGAGTAGTGTCATTGACTCCCTGAGTTCTAGAGTTGTTGAGTTCCAAGTATTTAGTTTTATGCATGGTTATTGAAAACCTTGAATTAAGTCGTGCACGTCCATAATTCAACATGAACCTTATTTTAAGAAATCTTTTTACAAATTGTTTTAAAACTTGTTTTAAAGACTTGAGCACTGAGTTGAGGAAGAGTAGAACTGAGTTCATTTTCTTAAAAATGATATATGGGAACTAAGTATTCCCACTAGTAAATGTTTTTACATTTAAGATGCGAGGAAACTGGGATTTTCGAAAGAGTTTTGAGAAGTTTTAGTACAACCTCTTTTAAGAGAGATTTTTGAGTAATAATCTCAAAACATAGAAAGAGTTATGGTTTTAAACATATGAGCTAGTTACATTTTGGGAGTAGTATTGAGTACCGATATCAAGACGAGTTTGAGTTCTAGTAATTAAATGTCTTTATAAACCGTGTAGCCAGAATGGGTAGAAAAGGATACTTTTTAGATGATTCCTTAATGCTTTCTAGCATAGATTAGTGGATCCACTTAGTGAGTAGGTTCTATACCCAGCAAAGTATAGGACAACCCTGGCAGCGTGCGACAATACGCTGTATCATCACATAGCTCATAGTAATGGTTGTCGGTTAGAGAAACTCTCACATAGATATTTTGTATTCTTATATACACATAGTTTACTTTGAATTTTCATATACAAGCAGAGTTTATCTTGTATCCTTGCATACAAACTGAGTTGCTTTCTACTGTTTAAAGCTTTCCATATATTATATATGTATTGTTGCTTTATATTGAGTTGAGTATCCAGAGTTGAGTACCAAGAGTCGAGTATCTTATTACTGAGTTGAGCCTTAT